ATTATTATTATTATTATTATTATTATTATTATTATTATTATTATTATTATTATTATTATCTTCTTTACTACCCTCTTATTGCTATGTTGTTGTTGTTGTTGATGATGATGATGGTTACTTTGTTGCATGTACACTGAGAGTTTTCAGCACCGCAGACAAATTCCTTGTGTACCTAATGACACTTGCCCAAAGAAAGTATTTTATATTCTAGTGTATATTCTATTTGCCCACCAAGAATATAACTGAACAGTCCCTATCATAGTAAATTGTGTGTTGCTGGAATTTTAAGAAAGCTAATATGAAAAAAAAAAATGTTTTTTTTAAAATCACAACTTCTTCCTGAATTAATGCAGTCACCTAGCTGGCAGTGTTTCATACCCCACAAGGCAAGCCATCCTTTCGGTCAGACACAATGGAAATGGGTTCATGGCCAAGGCTATAGTATAAGAGACTGAGGTCCTTTCTTTTCTGTTTTGTTTTGTCTTGTCTTCCTCCCCCCCCCCCCTCCCCTCTTCCTTCTCCCTTCGATTTCACTAGAGGAAGCCAAGTCTGATACTCCAACCAGCAATTGGTTAACGGCAAAGAGTGGCAGAAAGAAGAGGTGCCCTTACACTAAACACCAAACACTGGAATTAGAGAAAGAATTCTTGTTCAATATGTACCTCACCCGAGAGCGCCGCCTAGAGATCAGTAAGAGCGTAAACCTTACTGACAGGCAGGTCAAGATCTGGTTCCAAAACCGCAGAATGAAACTCAAGAAGATGAGTAGGGAGAACCGAATCCGTGAACTGACTGCTAACCTGACCTTCTCTTAAACTTTGGCACAACCTGGGCTGGCCATAATGCTGTTGCCATTGGTCGCCCCATGGTTAAGAAACACTAGCCCAGGTGGGTGTGTGGGTGTGTGGGTAGCGGTGGAGGGTACATGCCTTTGTGTTCAATTTTTAAAATTTCTGATATAATGTGTCCTTTTGTTATTATTTTTAGTGATGCAAATGTCCATGTATGTTCCTATGATATGTCTTTCTCTCTGTCTGTCTGCCTCTCTCTGTCTCTGTCTTTCTCTCTCTCTCTCTCTCTCTCTCTCTGGTTCACATGTATAGTTTGTTTTTCTTCATCGTAATGCAGGGTAAACTGATTGGTCCTTATAACTTGGTCTTAACTTATTAGAGCTGTTGACTATTCAGACAATGTACTTTTTTATGTTTTTAACTAAACAATGGGTATTTATGTGGGCGCTACTACATGGACCATAACGTTTGGCACCTATACAACAATAATTGAATAAAATAAATTAATAAATGTGCTTCCTGGATTTGGGAAGCCGAAGAAAGGACAAACAAGCACAGTTGATGATGTAAATCTCCATCCTTCCATGTGTTAGGTTTGTGCTTCATGTCAAGGTCTCCTTCACCCATAGCTATGGACGCTATTTTTCTCTCTCTCCTTGTGGTGCATATGTGGAATCCCGTGGTCTTTACAAGCAATATGTCTCCTTTTTGTGCATGTCTTATTTGCATGTATAATGCAATAAATCCTGTAAAGTTATTAGAGTTCTATTCGTCTTTCCAGAAAATCTGAGCAGCAAAGAGTTGGCCGAATCCCTTCCTGCGGGCCTGGGAAAAGACAAGCATGCAGGAAAGGGAAGTTGCTGCCACTGACTGGTTCCCATTTTCCTCTTCCTCTTCCTCCTTCTTTTCTGAGGACTGTTAACTGTAAGATCAAATGCAAAATCAACGGGCTGGTTGTAATGGGGCCAGGAAGCTTTCAGGGTGGACAAAACTTTTGACTTAAAGCGGACACCAGCCTCCTTTCCACAATTACATGGTCAGTGGCTTCAAAAACAAGCAAAGCAGAAACCTCAAACCAAAGTAAGGCAATATTTGGAGCAGGATAAACAGGATGTTTTGTAAATATTGGCCATGGGCAATCTAGCAGGCTAGGGAAACTTAAGGGAAACCTCCCACACATCGTGCTTTATTTTCTTTAAGTGTGTGTGTGAGAGAGAGAGAGAGAGAGAGAGTTTAATTAGGCAGAGGAAACTGCAATGAGTGTTCGCCTTCTGAAAATCAGAGAAATAATTTTGTCTATCTTACCTAGCCCTTTCCACTCCGCTTTCAAAAGTCGCCCTGTTGCAATGGGTGCACGGGATTTTTGTGTGGGCATGGATCAATGCAAATCTGTTTCAATTTCCCTGCAATCTTGGCTGTTTTGATTGTTCTTGTGCCAAATGTCAAGATAGTGAAGCTTGGGACTTTTTGCCTCCCATATTCCTGCAAAATAAATATTACCAGCAGTCATTTTATCTTCTGCAAAAGGAGGCTGGGAGGGAGGAAGGGAGGAAAAGGAGGTCGAGAGAGGGGAAAAAAACCACTGGGGGCAAAGAAGCAGTGAAGCAGAAACGACGTTTAAGTGGGAGTTTGCAAATGAACGTGACTCTCAAATGAAGTCCAAATGGTACCATGGAAGATAATATTTCTAACTCAGGGTTGAACCGTGGGGTCCTTGGTGGTCTCTGACTTGGTTGTTTTCTTGCAGACGTTTCATTACCAAAGTAATGTTTGTTTGCAAGAAAACAACCAAGTTGAGAAAACAACCAAGGATTCTACCGAAGGACGTCCAAATGCTTGGATCCGTGTTCAGCTTCCAAGAGCAGGTCCCCCATTGACCCAACTTGCTTTGTAAACCAGGACCTTATCTCTGCCTTTCCGAAAATACTGTATTGCTTCCCTAGTGATACCTGAGTAACTCGGAAAAGGAAGGCCGGAGTTCTGGTTGCTTTTAGTCCGCGAAGGAAGTTTTCTGAGAAGAATCCCCGAGCTGGCGAAGGGCTCCGTCCTTAGGAAAGTCTTTGAGTATTACTAACTCCCAGGGAAGTATTAAGAAAACTTTGCCCATGAGCGAACCGTTCGTTTTTCTTTGTTTATCTGCTGATGTCCCTCGCCTGTTTCCTTTTGATCTGGTGGATCGAGCACGGTTTCCTTTATACATTACTGCTTGAAATGTCAGTCAGTTTGGTATCCGGACACCTCCTTGCTGTACATAACAGGATTTGGATGTGTAACCTACTTGGAAGAGGGAAAGAGGGAAACTGTTTTTTCAAGAAACACCCGACACGTTGCCTTCTTCGGCAGCGTCTCCAAGCCCACTTTATTTTGAACATAAATTCTGCGCCAGCCGATTCCACATTGTCATACCAATTAGGATAGGTATGTTTCTCAGTCTTGCGCGTGGCTGGCTGGTTGTGCGTGCTTGTGCATAGACCCAAAGGCACGGGCACACACACACACACCCATAAACGTGTGCGTTTGCCGTAATAAACCGAAGGCTTTCGCGTTGGTTTGAAATTAAAAGGAATTAGAGCTGTAAACTCGCAACACGCCGCCTTCTAGCAAACCTCCGAAAGGAGGGGTATAAACAACCAGGAAAGCGCCTCCACCTCGTCTTTCTCCGCCTTTCGGGAGGCAAAGGTGCCGGACACCAGAGTCCGGCTTGTGTCATTGACGCCAAGATTTTGGATTCTTGCCCCTCGTTCAAAGCGAACCCAGGTCTAGCCTTTCTGGAGAAGAAAAGAAAAAAAAAAAAAAGAGAGAGAGAGAGAGAGAGAGAGAGAGAAAGCGCTTGCAAAAAAAAAAAGTGGGGTGGAGGCGGAGTTGAATTACTAGAAGACCGGCGAGACCATTGTTCGCCTTAGCGCTAAAAAACCTACAGGCGGAAACTTGGCCTCCACCAAGTCCGTAATAAAGGCGATAAAACGCGGCTGAAATTCCTCGATTCCAATGGGGGGTGGGGGAGAGGTGGCCGGAGGTTCCCGACTAGTTTTTTTAAAAAGAAAAAAGAAAAAAAAAGCATTTATTCCTGGAAGTGGGCAGGGGCGCCCCCTCCACCCGCCCACCCCTCCTTTTTCGACTGCTGTCTTCCAGCGGGCTGGGCGTAGCAAGGCCGAAACCGCACCATTCACGAGGTGCGCTCATTTATTTGTGTTCCCTTGGAACTCCTGCAAGTTATACCGCCGCTTCTTTGAAGTCCTTGCGGTTCAGACCTCTGGGAAACGCCGGCATTCAGCTTGATGTTAGCCCTGAACGCAGAAAGGGGGGGGTGGGGGAAGGAGGGGAGGCGAGGCAGAGAGACAGATAGGGAGGGAGGCGGGGGGCTCCGTGCCATCAGCCCGTTTTATTAGACGACGAGCGCATTAATCTGTAATCAAATGCATCTCATAAAAGATTTATTGAAAAGCATAAAATCATCGCGGGGAGAGAGAGAGAGAAAGTCTCGACTTCCACCTGTTTTCAGACGAGGCCCGGGGCAACCCCCCCTCCCTTCTTCCACTTATGTCGGGGGTTCCCGTTTTAACTCGGGCTCTCCCGCGCAGCGGCGTCTGTCGCTCGGTTTCTCCAAGAGGTTCCCGAGCCTCGCTCTGGCCAAGCGAGCCCCGCGCACTGCGCAGTTGCACGAGGTGCCTCTCGCCCCTCGCTTTCCTGGGGCCGGGTTGGCGACGGGCGCCCTTCCTCCTCCTCCTCCCTCTGGCGATCTCTCAGGAGTTCCTGGCCAGCGAGAGGGACGAGCCCAGCCGGGTCAGCGCTGCCCGCTCGCCGGACAGGCGGGGGCAAACGGGTGGCAGAAAACGCAGCCCGAGAAGGCGAAGAAATAAATCCGCCAACTTGCGCTGCTCCCTCTGCGGGGAGGGCCACGCCCGGAGCCTGGGCTGAGGCAGGGCTGCCGTGGAAGGATTCGGCTCTTCTCGCTCTCTTCACCACCCCCCCGTCCCCCACCCCACGGCGCATAATATCAGGACTTTCGTTTTTCCAATGCAGTTGAGGGAGAGAGAAGGGGAGAGAGAGAGAATGTGCGTGTGTGTGTGAGAGAGAAATGTGTGTGTGTGAGAATGTGTGCGTGTGTGGGAGGGAGAGTGTGTGTGTGTGTGTGTTCATGGAATCATGCCAGCCACCCTTCCCGAACGCCAATGTAGCGGATTGATTTACTTCGAGTATTGGTAAATATGATCATCACGTGGGCAGAGGGACCAATAGTAGAAGCTGGGAAGGCTGCAAAATTCCAAGATTGTTTCCCCGGACCGGGCGAAAATCCCCAGTTAAAACAGTGGTAATCTTTTTTTCCCCCTTGGATCTCTCTCTCTCTCTCTCTCTCTCTCTCTCTCCCCACACACACACACCCCATGCCGTGCCACGGAGGGAATCTCCCCAAAATGTCGTCGGGCGGCACCCTCAGTAACTACTACGTGGACTCGCTCATAGGCCCCGACACCGAGGAAGGCTTCGGAGGAAGAGCAGGCGGAGGCCTCGGGCGGTTCCTACCAGGGGGTCACCCCCTCGCCGCCCCCCGGTTGCCTTCAGGTGTGGCCACCGAGGGATCGGAGTTCTCCCCGTGCAGCTTCACACCCAAGCCGTCCGTCTTCTCCTCCTGGCCGGCCCGTCCTCCTCCCGCTCAGCCCTCCACGCCGCTGCCGGGCATCTATCCTCCGTACGTGCCCCCGCCACACCTTGGAGGGTCGGGCGAGGGGGGCAGGTACGTCCCTTCCTGGCTCGATCCCTACGCTTCCTTTCGCGGCAGCCACGCCGCCCTCTCGGCCGCGTCCACCGTCTCCGACCGAGACCCCGTCGCAGCCTCAGGGTGCCTCTACGGGATCGGCAAGCCGGAGCCCGCGGCCTCTGCATCGCTTGACCCCCGGGCCTTCGCTTCTGCCTCCGTGCCGCCCTGCGCGTCCGGGTCTTCAGCCCCACGGACTGAGAGCTTCTCTCCCACGGGCCGTTCCGACTACACGTGCAACTCCTTTCTGGCAGCGGCCGGGGAAAAGGCGGCGGCGGCGGCGGCGACTGCCGGCCTGGGTGCACCCGCCCTCGCTTCCCCGGCCAGCAACGCCAGCCTCAGCCCAGCCAAGCCAGCCTCTGGAGGCAGCCGGAACCCCAGCCCGCTCAGCAACTTGAAGGAGGAAAAAGAGGAGCAGCAGCAGCTTGGCTCAAGTAAGTTTTAAAAGGAAGAAAATAAAAGGAAGGAAGGAAGGAAAACAGAAAGGAAAGAAACTACACACACACACAGGAGCTGATTTATTGCCCCAACCTATAAAGCTCCAGTGTGCAGGGATAGTTTTACAAACCTATAAAAACGTCTAGACTCCTATCCCAGCAAAGCAGCCAAAGGCACCCATAAAAGGGGAACCCCGTAACCACCTCCTCTCACCAAGAAGTCCTCACTCATCCAACCAACAGACTGGGCCTCTCAGGCTTTTATGATAATCTCTCCTCAGTTGTGAAAAGCGTAGGGATCCTTCTGAAATTAATTTAATTTAACCTTCCTTCCTCTCATTTCTCCCCCTTCCCGGTGGCTTTCCCTTCTCCCCTCACCAAATTCTCCCCTTCCTTATTTTTTTTCCCTCCCCCCCTTCCCCCCCTTTCCAGATAACCTGGCTGCAAACTGGATTCAGGCTCGTTCCACCAGGAAAAAACGTTGCCCTTACACAAAATTCCAGACTCTGGAACTGGAAAAGGAATTCCTCTTTAATATGTACCTCACCCGAGAACGACGCTATGAAGTGGCTAGGATTTTAAACCTCTCAGAGAGACAGGTTAAAATCTGGTTTCAGAACCGAAGAATGAAAATGAAAAAAATGAATAAAGGAAAAGGGGAATAAAGGAGACTAACACTTTGGGGGGCATGCATTTGTGGAAATATTGTAGCATGGGTTGGGTTTTCTTTTGTTTTTTTTATGATGATGATGATGCACACAAACACACATGTATACACAGCAATGCAGCAATTAATTATCCTTAATGTTATTTTCTCAGGTGCATTGATTCAAAAAAATTTTAAAATGAAAGATATCAGCGAATGTAGCCCTTGATGTTTTAGAACGAAAAAGGGATGGATGGCTTCTCCCGAAAAGCTGGTTTGTTTTTTCTTTCACCTTCCACTTGGTTTTGAGGTACAGCGGCTGCATATTGTGTGTGGGGGGGGAGTTCATTGTTTGATGTGCTTTGCACAAGTGACTTAGAATACCCCCCCTTTCCAATGTCTTGCCCAGAGTTGCAGCAAAGTTAAGGAGGTTCAAGGCAGAGCTGAATGATGGAGCAAGCGCATTTTTAACCGCATTAGCACACAAAGCCTGCACTGCCTCAAAGACAGCTTGACTGTTTCCCCCATCTCTCTGGGTTCTGTATACTTTGTCTTCCAAGACTCATGTCACAGAGGATGGGGATTCTTATTTGTGGCTGACCTGTGGTTAGATTCACAGTCTAGGACTTAATAAGTCAAGTCTTAACCAAGAACCTAAGAATTATTCATGTAGTCTCTAAGAATATAGGCAATTCCAAGCAGGGTAGGTTTTTCTAAAATTAAAGGTGATTGTTATTATGGTTGATTAAATAGCCAGATGTTTTTTTAATGTGAAATCACAGCTGGCAGTTATGAGACTGGCCTTCATTCTCACTGAGTTCTTCCCAAGAACCTAGGATGTCATAATTCTAATCGTAATCAGCATAGTATATGGATCCAAGCAGTGGCCTTTTGTAATTGACAGATGAAAGTTTTGTCACAGAGAAGTTTTCTAAATGCCATCCAAGATGTTTTGGTATGGCACCCAGGGTGCCAATATTATTAGTAGTAGTAGTATTGTTATTATTAATAATATATTATTATTATTATTTAAGCACAGCTTCCTTTCTTCAGTGCAGTGTATTAAGAGTGGTACTTGAAATTTTATTAATATTCATAGGCCTAAAACACTTGGCTCACAGTCTGTATTTTTGTTTTATTTGCGATCGTATTCAAGAATGAATCATTATCTGTTCACAACAATGTGAAGCACGGCTGTCAGTTTCTTTAGCCTTTATACATATCTTGAGATCTGTCCAAGAACCTAAGAGTTCGTAATATATTGGCATAGTATATATGTGGCTCAAAAGCAGTGTGGCCTTTTACGCTTGACAGATGGAAATGTTGTCAGTGCAAGCAGATTTTCTAAGTGCATCCAAAATTTTTGGGTATGGCACCCAGCTTGCTGCAAACCACTAGGACAACCACAGCTGGTTCATGCGATAATCTTTCCATTTTGATTTCCAGATCTTGGTAAAGAATTCTACAATCCTTTCTCTTCTATTAGTATTTGCTTATTGTTCCTTGTTTTTTTGTTTTCTTGCTTACTTGCTTGTATATGTCCTAGATTCTGGAATAAAATTTGGGCTCATGAAAATAAAATCTTTAGCTTTTGCAGAGGAAAGCAAATTGGAGGACAGATTATCTAAATGTGACATAGGTGCCATAAGGCCCAAGCCTACAACTTGCCTCTCTATGCCCCTGAAATTGTCTGCAAAACCCCTACACACACCTCCGCCGTTTCTACCAGATCATCTTTAACCTAAATACAGTGACTGGCAACATAGAAAGACCAACTCCATTCTTCAGAAGTCTTCTCAGTGACTGAAGGATCTTCTTCCACTCTCAACAGACCACCAATCTAGGAAACAACAGTATTTTTATTTTAGTTTGCATCCTACAAACACATTGCTTGTTCAGAAAATTAAAAAAAAAAACAGTACAAAGGTTTCTGGACCTATTTCTTTTTATGGGATGGGAGAATGGTGAGATCAACAAATTTTTACTTGAGATTAAACAATAAAAGCAGAAATCAGTTACAATTACATTATTCTGTACCTCCAAATGGATCTCCTGGAATATTTTTCTTTTTTTAAAAAAATAAACATGTCAGAAAAAAAATGATAACTCCCCCTTTTACCTGGCCAGTTGTGCCAATAATACTTAATGCCTATTTAACCCTGGCCTTACATCAATCAAATATTTACCCAAGTGACTTTTTGTGACTGTTTACATGCCTGTGGTTTTTTTTTTTTTTAAATCTAAAATCCTCTAACGAGACTGTGAAGTTCTATTGACTTCAGGAAATGAGATTTAATAACCAGGGATGGATGGATAAATGGATGAACGGACAGAGAGAGAGAGAAAACAGAGGGGCATAAACATTTTTTGGAAAGAGGGAAGTATTGCTCCATGCCGAATTTAAGACTCTAGAAATAAATGCAGCCTTGTAAGGTATCTGAACAATTATTTAAACACAGAGAAACTGCCTCAAGAACTTTGAGCCTTTTTAGATCTGGAGATGGTATCACACTTCCCTTTTCTCTGTTCCCCACCCAGCAGGACGAAGGATAAAGGCCCAAGAAAAAGGTGCTGGATTGGTGCTCTATTCATCACCAGCTCTCTGCCTATCATTCTTTTTGAAAACAGGAAGAGCCAAGGTATAATAAAACCATTGAAAAGAGCAGACGTCTGGACCTAATGAGTTTACGATAAGGGATGGTATTTTGAGACTACCATTATTTTGATGTTTGTGGGGTATTTTGGAAAGGGTGAAACACAAATGCTAACAAAATGAGGTCTTAAAAAGTTGGACCATAAATATCAACTGTTAGACGCCAACATCGGAAAAGTTGGGACAATTCTTGGGTTGGGATTGCCATTGGAGAACCAGTTTAGGAAAAACAGAAATTGTTTTTGAATTGATTGGGAGGGGGCTAAGAGCAGGCTAACAGACGTGACAAAATTAGACCCCTCTCAAACTTACCAGACATAGCAATTTAGAGCAAGAAAAAGCTCGTTTCAGTCTTTGGAATTGAGCTGAACTGAATCTAAACTTCCCAGGGTTAATCCAAGTCCATGTGTGTTGATTTCAAACTGTCACTAGCTAGTCTGGTGGATTCTGGCTGGAAATATCGGCATCTTAAATCCCTTCCAAGCTGCCTGTTCATACTTGTGCTTGAGAATCCATTTTTAGCACGATGTGGAAGGGAAGAATTATTACTGTAACATCATGCATAGGCAGGAAAATGAAGGTTGCAGTCAGGATTTTAAAATTGAAAATAAGTGAAAAAGCACATTCAAAAGGGAAAGTGTATAATATGAAAATAAAAACAAATGTGAAAAATTTACACTGCATCAAATTAGTTCAGACTTTATAGTTCTTTAAATTATTTTTATATTTTCCTCTTAAATAAGGCATTTGGTTAAGAAAAAGACCTAGTAGTGAAATATCGTATGTGCATGCTAATAGAGGACAACACTGAAATTCACTGTAACTATTCTGCAATCTTTAAAAATATCAAATAAGGCATTTAAAGTAAAACTCTTATCGTTCTAATTATAAAGTGCACTGGTAATTTTGTAACAAACGCATACTTTGCTTTAAATTTTGAATTAGGTCAATATTCATGCAAGGAAAACTAGCATACCAGATTTTTTTTCTTATTAATGGAGATTAAAAGACAATAGAATTAACTTCCAGATCTTTGTTGAAAGAAACTGATAAAGATAGAATTTTTGGAGAGCCAGTTTAGATTTTTTTTGTTTTGCCACTAGAGGGCAATATCGCTCTATTCTCATATAATTTCCCAGCTTTGTCCAAGAGAATCATTATTTAAAAATATGTATAGTTTGTTTGGAAAAGAAAAAAAATACATGGATGTTATTTTTTTTTCATAAGCATAAGTGAACATGACTGTTCTTTAGTACGCTTTAATTAATTATGGGGTAAAAGAAGCAATTCAGCACTTTCAAAGTACTTATAATTTATCAGTGAAACTTAATTATTAAAGATTGCGTAAGTGCAAATGAAAAATATGATTATTCAGGCCATTCTTTTGTATTTAAAGCACAAGTTAGGAAATTAAGTGAGACCTATAGAAATGTGTGTTTTACTTTATTTTATCAAGAGGTTAATATTGATTTCATGGAAACAAAACAAAGCTTGCAGATTTGCCACCCAAGGGACTTCAAGCTGCACTTAGGGACATTTTATTAATTAAACTTGCACACTGCCTCAATCCCAGAGGCAACTTACAGTGTCTTACATATTAATATTAAAGCTGCAAATTTATATTGGTAAGAAAAAAAGCATGATAGGCAATAAGTCATTAGAGAGGGGGTGGTCTGGAAGCAAAATCTGGTGTCAAGTTTTATAATCTTTTGTTCTTCCACTCTGCTTTCAAATGCAGCAGCTATAGCATTCAGTTAAAGGTCTCAGCAGATGGCAGCACTTGGATGAGCCCACATTAAGCAGGGGCACAACCTGGAAGGAACACCATCAGGAAATCTCAAGCAGAGGCCCAGCAGGGGTGGGCCCAGAGTCACAGAAGAAGCCAAATGGCAAACCACTCCTGTCTCCTGCTAAGAAAACTGCTCAAATGTGTCCATGAAGTGACCAGAACCCCGCTTGACTTTTTTTTCCCATTCCTGGAAATATACAGGGCGACTGGAAGACAAATAAGGCCTTCTCTGTGTGTGAGGATGGGGAAAAAGGCTGCAAGACAATCCAAAATCCGTTCTGGTATGTTGCCAATTGTCTGGCATTCAATATCCTTGCTCTATGAGAGTTCAGAATCAAAACACAGACAGCATTATATAGCTTAAAAAGAGACATTTATTTGAAAGCAGGGCCTATGACAACGGCTAATCAAGAGAAACGGGTATTTATGTGTTCACAGGACTCAGATCCTCCCTCACTTCACCCCCACCCCAAAGAAGGCATACATGGCAGGGCCTTTACAAGATGGTGGAGCTCTTTTAAGTCCTCGGCTCTGCTTTCGAAAGGAAGTTCTTGAGAGAGAGGTACAGGCCGTGCAGGACAGCCCGATTCGAT